CTGGGTTCCAGAGGTTAAGTTCAGTGTTTAGCTGTGGGTATCTGTCTCTGCTTCCATCAGTTCCTGGATGAAGGTTCTAGGATGGCATATAGGATAGTCATCAATCATTTATTTATTTTATGTGTGTCTCTGTACCACATACAGGCCCAGTGCCTGTGGGGGCCAGAAAGGCGGCAATGTTGCCTGGAGCTGGAAGGGAGGTTGTTGGATATGATTCATGTAATGTATGTAAATGTGAAACAATCATATAATATTAATAAAATGTATTTTGAGTATAATGTATCTTTGTCAAATGAGTACATTATAAATATTTTTCTACCATATTTGTGACTTTTCTTTTTAATCGATGTAGTTCCTTATAACAAGCTCATTTTTTCTCACTTAAAAGCAATGGAAGTATCTTTATTTTCTAGACTGTTTAATATCTTATTTTTCATATCTAAAAGATGTGATCTTCTTGGCTTAGTTTCTGCATATGACATGAAATAGTGACCAAAATTCATTTCCCATGTGAAAATCCATTTGACCTAGTACGTTGGGCGGTGAGAACCCTTCCCTTTATCATGGCTTCAAGAATCTGTGTCATAAGTCACACACATGTGCACAGCCATGGGTTTTGATTCTTGTTTAATGTCTCCTAGTACTTCGTATTAGTTTTATACACAGTGCTTTCCTTAAATAATTATAACTTTATAAACGTCTTGATACCCAGGTGTAAAAGACACTCATAGGACAACAGAAAGTAGAGGATTAGTTAAACTAGCTAGTCTGTGCTAAAGCCCTCTTTTTAAATTTTTTGTTACATTTATTTATTTAGTGTGTGTCTAACCCTGTGTGGCATGCCGTGCATGGAGAAGTCAGAGGACAGTTTGCAGAAGCTGATCATCCCTTCTATTGTGTAGGCCCCAGGGATTGAACTCAGATCGTCAGGCTTGGTGGCAAGTGTCTCTGCTTGCCAAGTCATCTTGCTGACCCAAAGTGTTTTATTATTTTTTGAAAGATAATTTACCATTACCATAAAATGACAATGCTTATTAAAGTTTCACAGAGAAATATAAAGAAATGTCAATAACTTCAGTACTATTCTGGTCCCTTTATGGTTTGCATTCCTAGTCTTTCTTCACATTTCATTTTCATCCATTTTATATATGTACACAGCCAGCTTCCAAATCTGGATTTATATGCCATTTGTCAACAGTGTGTTTTAATATTGTGCTATTAGTATGTGAAGTCTCTTGCCACAGTACTAAATACTTTTGAAATAACACATTTTATTTGTGTAATAATATCACATTCATGCCTGAAACATGGGATTTAGTTGGTCCATGACATTCCATTTTTGCTATTGTAATCTAATCGGGATTTATAATTTTAGCAAAGGTTTTTGAACCTGTGGGAAAGAGTGTGCCCCGTGTTTGACATTTGTTAGAAGCTAAAGTGCAATACAAATGGAGAACAGAAGAATAGGTGTGGTGTCCAAGATGATGCGTGTGCTGAGCTAGGGCTGTAAGTCACTTACTTAGTCTCTTCAGATTTCAATTCCCCATGAATAACACAGGTTTAAAACAACAGATCTCACTAACGAAATTCTGTAAGTGTGAGAAACTTGAGTTAGAGGAACTGACTGTTGAACATTTTTTTTTGAATTTTTTTTATTAATATTTTTTTTATTTTCCATTTTAAATTTAGATAAGAAACAAGGTTGCTTCACAAGTCAGTACGAGGTCCCTCTCCCTTGACTGTTGAACATTTGACGAAGTAAAAATACCGTTTCAACTTTAAAATGACTCATTAATTCCCTACCCCTTCCTCTAGAATTGCACAGCATTTTACCAAACAAGACAGTATTTTGCATTTAATAGTGACAGGATGGATTCATTTTGAAAAAAATGCACACAGGATTGCACAAAACCACTCTGTATATATAAGTGTGCTGTGTGTTGATCAGTATCTTGTGTTGGAATGAACCAGCACATAGCAGAACTGTTTTCCGAATGATTATTTCCAGTGTTTTAAAAGACTTTTCCCCCACTGGGATTTAATATATCGTTTCAGACATATCATTTCTCCCCCTTGGTATGCTCGCCCCCTGGTGGTGACAGAGCATTCACTATGCCGTGGAAAGGAACTTCCACACAGCTCCTTCCTTACCAACCTTAATCTTCTCTTTCTTGTCGAGCTTTCCTGAGCCGTTTCTTTAGTTGCTCACAGAAAGTGTCCCATTCCACCTCCCCTTGGGACAAGTCAAAATAGTCCTCTTTTTGGAGCCATCGGGAGAGACGATGGTAGCCATGGAGCTTCTGCCTATCAATGGGCTCCAGAAACAGCAGCAGGAGGCCAGCTGCCCCAGGCCTGGCCACCAAGTGGTAAGTGGCCAGTCTTAATTCTAGATTGCACCAGGGACTTGCTAAGGCCTGGCCCGTGAGCACACAGAGGGTGGATCGGCTTTTGTGCATGCTGGCGATCATGGATTCCATCCTGTCGTTTCCAATTCCAAAGTCCCTGGCAGGCAGGCACAGCCTCAAGCCCTCACCTTCAGGAGGTGGCTTCTCCAAAGCAGGGACCAGTTCTTCTAGCACCCAGGCTTGGTCCATCTCGCAACAGGATATAAAGACATCGTAGTCGAACTGGCCTCTGTGTCTGTGCCCACCTAATTTCCACCAACAAGCACGCAAGAGTGTCTGCAGGTAACGAAGCCAGGCCCGTTTATGACAGCCAATCAGAGGAAGGACGGTCAGCAGAAGTACCAGAGAGAAACTGACGAGAAAGCCCCAAAACTCAGCGTCATGTGGGCAATGGGTAGCAAGGAAGGAGAACAGGGGAGTGTTGGAGTAGTCAGAAGCATTGGCCATGCAGATGGATTTCTCCAGTCCGTAAACAAAAGTGTTTGGGGCCTGTGTGGCCCAAGGCTCCACCCAGGAAGCTTCACACTGGCAGGTGAAGGTGACATCTGAGAAATAGACATATGGAGGCATCTGGGGAATAAACTCCTGGAGGCTGCTGTCCATCTCCAGGGTCATCTCAGAGCTGAGCAGCAGCAGTTTGAGGTGGTGCAATCCCTTAAAGCTGGACACAGAGAGGTTTCTGAGATTCAGGTGACTCAGTGCCAGTGCCCGCAACTGAGGCACCTCCCTCAGCAGAGTCTCTAGCTTCACAGTGCTCGACTCATAGAAAAAATTAAGGTCCCCCAGCTCTAGCACACGCAGCCTGGGCATCTCAAATAGACGGAGGTCTACTGCGTTGTCATTGTCACACCAGATAGAGAAGTGCTCCAGGAGAGGAAGCTGCTGTGGAAAGAAGCTCTGAAGTTGACTGGTTGAGAGGAAGAGGCTGTAGCCACGCAAGGTGAGGCGACGCAGGGAGGGAAAGTGGACTGTGGTTGTGTCTGGTTGCCGTAACAGATAGGAGGCCTGTAAAGTAAAGTTCTCCAAGAGTAAGAACGGCTCTCCAAGGAGAACCATAAACTGAACCACTTTTGCTTGTATTTCTAAGCTGAGCAACATCGGAAACCAGGGAGGATAGATGTCCAGCATTTCATCAGAACCCAGTTTTAGATGTCTCAGCATCTGGGGACCCTGAAGTTGTTTGCCTGAAATATGCTCTAAGTAGGTGCCCAGAAGGTTCAAGGTGGTCAGAGCAGGAAGGTGAGACAGCCAGCCTGGTTTGAGTACTTTAATTTGGTTCCAACTCAAGTCGAGAGTCCTCAGCCCCCTCAGCCCTTGCATACTCTCATTTGATAAAGTAGAGATGTTATTGCCACTCAGCCAGAGCTCCTGGAGTTGTGGAAGAAATGTTCCACGGGGCACATCACATAGCTGATTGTGGGACAGATCTAGAACCCTCAAATTTGTGCTAAACACTCCTTCTGGAATCTCCAAGGTTGGGCCCAGCTTATTCATAGAGAGGTTGAGCCTCTGAAGTTGGGGTAGAGTACTTAGGAACCTGCTAGGAAGTGATTGCAGATAGTTATCATGAAGACTAAGGGATTCCAGAGCTTTATAACTTGGCATATCTTCATTCTCCAAGATGTTTTGTATTTGGTTCTTCCCAAGGTCAAGTGCACGAAGCTCAGAGTAGCCTGTGACTCTCCCAGGCAATTCTTCTATACCTGTACCCACAAGGGAGAGGGAGTCCAAATGGAGCAGTCCTGAGCCTGTGAGATCAAATGCTTTTAGTGTGGTACCGTCCAATATTAGGGAGCGGAGTTTGAGGCCACGCAAGGCTCTGGCACCTGTCTGCTTCAGCCGACGGTTGTAAGATAAATCCAGTACTTCTAGGAAGGGCCTCCCTAGTTTGGTACTGAGTGTAGGAGAGGGGCCAAGCAAAAGACTTGGAAAGAGCCTTTGCAGCTCCTGAAACTTTGTCAGACAACTGTTCCTTAGAGTTAGATGCCTCAGGCTAGCTGGCAAGTAGATGTTCCGGCTATAATTGAGGCAGTAGCCTTGAAAGGAAAGATGACTGAGGGATCTGAGAGTCTTTAAACAATTTGGAGGGAGGAACAGATTCAGGCAACAAGGAGCATGGTTCTCAAAAAAAAGGTACCGTAGCCGGTCCAGTCCTTGAAAAGTTCTAGCGGTAATCTTGGTTGTACCCAACTGCAGCCTCAGAAGCTTTAGGGAGTGGAAGCGATCAAAGGCCTTGACTGGCAGAGAAGACACCAAGCCCTGGAGGCAAAGCACCTCTGTATCTCTGGGCACTCTTTCCAGGGTGTGAGCCAAGTCTTTAACATTCGAGCAAGATGCCAAGAGGTGCAGTCCCGGGGCCAATGGGCAGAACCGGATATAGGAGGAAAGGTTAGGAAGCAGCAAGCTGTCCGCTATGATGCAGTCGGGGGCGGTCCATGCCCAGCTGGTCCAGTCAAGGCTCCCCAAAGCCAATAATAACAGAATGAAGAAAGCAGGGCAGAACTGAGCTCTTTCCATCCTTGGCACCGACTCTAGGAAAACAGAGGGAAAGAGTTGGGTACCAACTCTTACAGTGATGAGTAATCCCATCCCGGGATGTCTAACATGCATCATGTCCTTCAGACTTTGGGACATATTGGGAACATCCCTATAATCAAGGAAAGAGTGACACATTTGCCAATTCAGAGGCTCAAGCTGTGCCCACGGATGGGTGACTCCAAGCATGTAGGAAACCAGAGGAGGCCAAATCACAGGGCAGCACGAGGCCCAAGAGAAGCCTATGATGGTCTGATCTCCCTGGGAGATGACCAGTTCAGACTGCTAAATCCATTAGAGGAAGCCATCATCCAAACAAAGCAGCAACCTGACTTGTTCAATAGAGAGTACACGGAAAAAAAAAGGGACAGTGCTTCTGACACTTTTACATCTGAACAAATTCTTAGCCATGTGACACAGGCGGGCTGCTGTCCTTTATTCTTGAGGCCATGAAGCTAAATGACTTGAAATAGAAAGTGCCAGACTTGAGACTGTATTTTTCCTATCAGGGTTAATAGTCTGATATAAAGGTCCTCAGGAAGAACTAAGGAAATATTTCAAGTAGAATTTAGGGTTGAGTTTAAGGAGAAACCATTTTTAAAATAGTTCAGGAAAATACTTAAGGAAATAAAGTTGCCTAATGAAACTTAACGAAAGGAAATCAAGTCTTGATACGCTTGAGTTTGGAGCTTAGCACTGGGGAATCTGGGTGTTGGTGATGGTGAGCTGACTGCATTCTCGTTATTCATAGCCTTCTGTTTCAAGAGAACCTTTTGGAGTGACCATTGTGAAATGAGTGGTCATCAAAGTCCCTGAAAGGTCTGGAAGAGACGGGAGAGTGTCTTGTCACTCTGGGGATGATAAGGACCAGAGGATTTAACACTAAATGCCATGGATGTCTCTGCTTTCCTCTGGTTGCTATTTCTCCTGTGTGCTAATGCACTGGAGACAGTGGGGGCATCTTTTGTGCATTGAGTCCCCTCCCTCAAGCTCCTGTGCCTCAGATTTCAGTGAAGTTCAGAGGAGGCCAGAGGAGAGGAGACTGGGACCTCATCATCTAAATGGTGTGGCCCCATTGTAGATGCATTTGGTTTAGCTGATCTCCGTCTTTCTACCCCATGGCTCGTCTTTTCACCTTTCGAAAGTCTATTTTCCCCTGAGCCTTGACGTATCAAAAAGCGTACCTTACTCATCCAAGCTTCCCTTTTCATTTTAGTTTATCTAGGATGGTGTCAGGGACTGGAGTAGACCTCAGATCAAGGAGACACAGTGACCTTGGTACTGGGACCCTGTCACTGTAGAAGTCTGGGATAGATTAAAGTTTCTGTCTCAAGATATTAAGTTTGATACTGTAACCCTGAGAAACATACAGGATTGCCCATGAACTACCACATCTCAGTTGGTCACTTAAACTGTGGCAAATCTTAACCCATCTGTCCTCAGGTTCTACCTGGTCACCCCTGGCCCCGATCTCAGGCTCTCTGAAGAGGCAGATGTTTTGTGGTTTGCTTTCTTCCTTGCCAGTGTCATTAACTGCTTATCTGCCTCATGCAGAAATTTCTTTGGTATTAGGACAGCATTCCTTACCTTTTAGATAGGAAACAGAGGATGGTGGAGGCAGCTTCAAGTTTCTAGGAAGAGTTCTTACTCATCTCCTGTAGCAAAAGAAGAAAACCTTTGTCTTCTGGGAGTCTTCCCTCCATGGTGGCCCCTGCTCTGCTGCGTGGGAGTATGGTGTTTCTGTTATCAGTGGTAGGTGGGGAGCTCTGGGGAAGACAGGGAGTTGACTTAGGAAAAACGGTGCAACTTCTTTCTTCCCAGACTGCCTCCTTGGCTTTTGCAGCCTCACGACTTCCTCTTTTCTAGTCTCCTCTGGGGGTTTCAGTTCTCATGCACTGTGTATCCTATTCTCCCGATACCTGAAAAAAGGCAGTCTTCAGTTTGCTGGAATCATGTTTTATGCCGTTTCTACCCTTCCTTTGTCCTCATGTCTACTTCTTCCTTTGCTGCTATAGGGGTCTCAGGTGTCCTGGGACGCAAGGCTCAGCTCTTTCCTCCGTCAAACAATGAGCAGAACCAGACATGGATTAGTAGGAGTGAAAATGGTAGTGAAAGCACGGGCTGAACTCCACAAGAGATGTTGGCTCCAGCAACCATGCAACGGAAGCTGGCATGGGACCAGAGGTTTATCACCAAAGGGCAATGAAGAGTCTTCTGACGGGTAGGTCTTTATCTGGCTTCCAGAGGTGATTTGTTTTCTTTGTTTGCTGGAAGGGGCTCATACAATCCTTGGAGCAATCAAGGGCAGTTCAAGTAATGGTCTTCCCTGGTTCATGAGTCCCACAGTTTAGTCACGCAAGTCTGAGCCTGTGTTAGTCCTGTGTGTGCTCATGCACGAGTGTGTGCAAACGTCTGTGGGGACACCAGAGGAAACCATAGGTGATGACTCTGGCTGCTTACTTTGTTTTGAGCGGGGTCTATGTTGTTTTGGCAGTGTGCATGCCAGAGTAACTGGCCCAGGAGCTTCCAGAGTTTCCCCCATCTCTCTCTGCTCTCCCTTCCCCATGGTGCTGGGATCACAGATGTTCATTCTGTATGTCTGACTTTTATGAGTTCTGGGGATTTGAACACAGGTCCTCCTCACACTTGAGCGGAGAATGTGTTCACCCACTGAACCAATTCTTCAGTCTCCTCTCATGTCTGGTCTTGATCTCAGGTATTGCATCCCTTATCTCCGTTAGAGAAGGAAGGTTGCAGAGGAGCCTATAACCTTCCTACAAGGAGCTCAGTCCTCCTGCCGAGGTTGGGTGTGCAGGGGGAGGGGACAAGAGGAAGAAGGTGTGTTTTGGTAAAAATGGCAGAATACTTCCCAGATAGTACAAGTTATGGGGATGCCCATATTCACATTCATATCTGGCTTCATTTGTCTGAAGTTGTTTGTTCAAATTAGCATTTTAAAATTAGCTAGTTGATAATTTCACACACACTTTGTTTTCTCTTTAGTTGGTTCCCCTCCTACTCTTTCCTCCCCCGTCCCCTACACCGGCCCTTCCAGTTGCCTTCCTCCTCAACAGGCTGGCTTCTGTCGCATGTATTTGATTAATCACCTTCTCTCCCTCTTTCTCCACCAGTGCTCAGATCTCTGCTCTTCTGTGTTCCCCTTTTCAAGTTTCATGACCTACAACCCCCTCCTTATCTCCAGAATATACTCACATCTGCGAGCACTTAAAGAAGCTTTCTCCACATATCGCAGAATGCATAGCATTTATATTTCTGAGTCTGGCTTCTTGACTGGGACCTTGGTGAATGTTATTTTTCATCTGTTCTTACAGAAACAGTGATGTGAGTTTGATTTGGGAGATACTGAAATAGTTCTGCTGTTTCTTGTGCTAACCTTTCTGTTTTCAAGTACCCTGCGGGAGGCTTTATTGTGTTAAGAATATGAGATAATAATAATAATGATAATAACAATAACAATATAACCAGAACACATAACACATATACAAAGAAGTGGAGAATAATTTAAATTTATTACATATATATTCATGAATTTTGATGAAAGCATTCTGTTTTACATGCTTTCATTTTTTCTTTCTTTATTTTATTACTTTAATTTTAAATAGCTTGCTTCACATGTCAATCCCAGTTCCCTCTCCCATCCCTCCTCCCCTGCCCCCCACCAACATCCTATCCCATTCCCTTTCTGCTCTCCAGGGAGGGTGAGGCCTTCAATTTGGGATCTTCAAAGTCTGTCATATCATTTGGGGTAGGGACTAGGCCCTTCCCCATGTGTCTAGGCTGAGAGAGTATCCCTCTATGTGGAATGGACTCCCAAAGTCCATTTGTATATAGGGATAAATACCGATCTACTACCAGAGGCCCCAGGCCTCCTAACTGACACCCATGTTCAGGGGGTCTGAATCAGTCCTATGCTGGTTTCCTAACCAGCAGTCTGGGGTCCATGAGCTCCCCCTTGTTCAGGTCAGCTGTTTCTGTGAGTTTCTCCAGCCTGTTCTTGATCCCTTTGCTCATCACTCCTCCGTAGTTCGGCTCAGTGTTTAGCTGTGGGTGCCTGCTTCTGATTCCATCAGATACTGGATGAAAGCTCTAGGATGGCATATAAGGTAATCATCAATCTCATTATCAGGGAAGGGCATTTAAGGTAGCCTCTCCACTATTGCTTAGATAGTTAGTTGCGGGTTACCTTTGTAGATCTCTTGACAGCTCCTTAGTGCCAGATTTCTCTTTAAACCTATAAACCTCTATTATTGTATCTCTTTTCTTGCTCTTCTCTATTCTTTCTGCTGACTAAATCTTTCTGCTCACTCAGGTCCTCCTCTCCCCTCTTCTTCTTCCCTTCTCTTTCTCCTAACTCCCTCTCTCCTCACCCCATGCTCTCAATTAGCTCAGGAGATCTTGTCCCTTTCCCCTTATCCAGGGGACCATGTATGTCTCTCTTAGGGTCCTCCTTGCTTCCTAGCTTCTCTGGTGGAGTGGATTATAGGCTGGTAATCCTTTGCTCTATGTCTAATTTCCATTTATGAGTAAGTACATACCATGTTTGTCTTTTTGTGACTGGGTTACCTCACTCAGCATGGTTTATTCTTGTTTTGGATTTGTTGTTGTTGGTGGTATTGTGTGTGGATTCCCACCCCTTTATTCTTTTGGCTGTTGGTAAAATGGGATTATCTACTGCCTATGTTTTGTGGGTGTAGTTAACTTCCTTGGGTTGAAGTTTTCCTTCCTGGACCTTCTGTAGGGATGGATTAGTGGATATGTATTGCTTAAATCTGGTTTTGTTTTGGAATATCTTGTTTTCTCCATCTATAGTGATTGAAAACTTTGGTGAGTATAGTAGTCTGGGCTGGCATCCATGGTCTCTTAGTGTTGGTAGAATATCTACCTGGACCTTCTGGCTTTCAGAGTTTCCATGGAGAAATCAGGTGTAATTATGACAGGTTTGCCTTTATATGTTACTTTTTTCCTTTGCTGCTCTTAATATTCTTTCTTTATTCTGTATTTTTGGGGTTTTGATTATTATGTGGCAAGGGGACTTATTTTGTGTTCTGTAAGCTTCTTGTACTTTCACTGGCATGTCTTTCTTTAGGTTGGGAAAGTTTTCTTCTATGATTTTATTGAATATACTCTCTGCACCTTTGAGTTGGGTTTCTTCACCTTCTTCTATACCTATTACTGTTAGGTTTGTTTTTTTCATGGTGTCCCATAATTCCTGGATATTTTGTGTTAGGGATTTGTTGGGCTTCAGATTTTCTTTGGTCAATGAATCCATTTCTCCTAGTGTTTCTTCAATGCCTGAGATTCTCTCTTCCATCTCTTGTATTCTGTTGGTTATTCTTGCATCTGTAATTCCTGATCATTTACCCAGCTTTTCTATTTCAACATTCCCTAAGACTTTTTAAAAAAATTTTCTCTATGTCAGCTTCCAAACCTTGCACTGTTTGAATTGTTTCTTGTAATTTTTGGTTTGTCTTTTCCTCCTTTCTTGATTTTTTTTGTTTTTTCTTCCATTTCTTTAAGGGATTTTTCTCATTACCTCTTTGATGGTCTCTATCATTTTCATAAAGTTGTTTTTAGGGTTGTTCTCTTCTTTTTCATCTGTGTTGGGATGTTCAGTTCTTGCTGGTGAGGAGTACATAGACTCTGGTGGTGTCATATTGATTTTTCTGTTGTTGACTGTTCTTATAATGTCATCTTCTCATCCCCTCTTCCAGTGGGTACAGGTGGGGTCTCTCTCTCTCTCCAGGAGGGTGCAGGACTAAGGTTCGCTTCCTGTGGGTGCCCAGCAGATCCAATACTCTGATGGCGCTCCTCTTACGGTGGGTTAAGAGAGAACTAACACTTACAGTCTCTGGATGGGCTGGTCTGCTGGAATGGATTCCCCATTGCGTAGTCCCTAGGCCTCAGTAAGCTCCAGGAGGGCACCGGCCATGTTTTCATGAAAAAAATAGAATTCCATAGTTTCTTCAAGCACTATTATTTTTTGTGATAGTCTTGATTTCTCTTTTTAGTAATTGTGTCTTTCAAAGCTTTTATATCCACTATCTGTTTTTCTTTATAGTTGGATATATACATACATACATACATGCATATATATATATATATATATATATATATATAAAAGGATGACCAACTTCCCAAAGAAACCACTAAACTTCTAAACTTTCATTGCTATATTGTCTTATTTTATACCTAATATGATCTCAAAAACTTGTGTTAACAATATGACCGGCTTAAGAAGTTAAATTTTCCCCTTTTGTAACATCATCTTTTAAATATTTTTGTATTTGGGAAATTTATAACATATATTTTAATAATAGTCTTTGCCCCCAACTCCTCCCAGTCCCTCCCCTACCTCCATACTCCACCTACTTCATGTTATTTCTCTGTCTTAAACAAAACAAAACAAAACAAAAAAACAAAACATGTAGCCCTGTCTGTGTTAGCCAACTACTCCTGAATGAGGGGCCTCCTCTGGAGTCTGGTTGACATATCCAGTTTGACTCCATTGAAGAGGACTGATTTTCTCTTTCTTATCAGCTAGCAAATGCAAATAACTTCTTGGCTATGGGTGGGATTTTGTGCCCATTTTCCCACCCCTGTGTAGAGATTATTTTTTTTTTTCTAGCTTGAGTCTATACAGGTCTTGTGCATGCTGTCACAAACTGTGTGAGTTCATGTGTGCATCAGTCCTGTTGTGTCTGGAGAACATGGTTTTCTTGAAGCTTTCCACCACTTCTGGCTCTTAACAAACTTTCTTCTTCCACAGAATCCGTGGAGAGCACTGGCTACTGGCTTGCTCTCCATGGCTGGCTTAGCTCTTCCTACACACCAGAGAATCACCTGGCTTGCTCTCCATGGCTGGCTTAACCCTTCCTACACACCAGAGAATCACCTGCCCAGGGGTGGCAGCAGCCACAATGGGCTGTCCCCTATATCAAATCACTAATTCATAAAATTCACCACAGGTTTGGTCATCAGTAAGCCTGGTGGGGACATTTTCTCAATTAAAGCTTCCCCTTCCTAAATGGCTCTAGCTTATGTCAATCCAGCACAATTACAATCTATTGCAAGAGGAAGCTTATCTGATAAGGGTTGAACAACTCACTGGTCTATCTCTGGGTATAATAATATGTTATTGGTAGTAGTTTTATTGACATGTTCATTTAGTAGACTAATAGTAGGTTTTTCCCTGGTCCCAGT